CAATATGTTATCAAATGGAAAAGATAAGACCTTATTTTATATTCTAGCTGGTCAATATCGGTTATTTGAGTTCCTAATTCATAAAAACTATAGACTTAGTATTTTGACTTCACAAACATCTAATTTGAACCAGTGCTGCATTCATCATACAACGTGACACATCAATGTTTATCTGTGTTTTTTAATATTTACTTTTAAATTAAAAAATTGAATAATTTATAGTTTTAAAATTTGAATTATAATCTACAGTTTGATACCAAACTTATTGAAATAAGTTCCTGAAATAGTAGTTCAATAAAATTTTGAATGCGAGTTAACAAACACAATGACATGGCCTTTGACCTACGACCTGTCTCTAAAGGGTTAACGTATAAAAACGTATAATGTTTTGAGAATATTTTTTTTCATCAGGTACAAGTAGTTTACTTAAACACAGTAATACATATATATATTGAGATTGGTCACTATTACTAATCACTATTCAGTAACTGTCAATATAAAATAAGCATATTGGTTTAATGGCTTTTGGTATGTTTATTAAGTTAAGTTTTTATGAAAATCATCTATTATTTATTTATTACAGATGTATTTTTGCCCCTCCCAGAAGGCTTGCTTGTGAACCTACATGAAAACAGAGGGGTAAATTGAATTGCATTTTCTTTTTAAAAATGCTAAATGTTGTTCATAATTATCTTAGTTGTCTAGATTATAAAAATACCTTGTTTTCTAAATGTGTATTAACCTTTGGTTAAATATGTTTTTATCTTGAAAAATTCTTTTAAAGCTCTGTATTTCTTTAATAGGTAGAGGAAATGATGTAAGATGTGTTATTGTTTGAGCAAGAAAACGTTTTTGTATTTTGTGTGTGTGTGTGTGTGTACAAACTTCCGCCAATAATTTTTACTTTTTTTTTTTTTTCTCCAGCTAATAGAAGATCTTCTGAAAGATCTTCCCAATAGATTTGCTGAGAATGATAGCACAAACAGTGCTTTGGGAGCTGCACTTGAGGCAGCCT